TTTCCTGGATGAAGCCGCCTTTTACAGCTGCTTTTTGTGTCTCTGCTTCTGTCTCCTTGAACCCCAGTCGGCCTCAGCAGATGGCCGCTCACACTAAGCCTGGTTCTGCTGGAAGTTTCTTCCTGTTAAAAGGGAGTTTTTCCTCTCCACTGTCACTACAAACATGCTTAGGGTGAGGGATTGCATTTGAGACAAGGAATCGAAGAAATCAATTGGTTTTTCTTAGATAGAAAACTTTGAATCAGTTTGACCATACTGTATGATCTGGTGAACTGTAAAATGCCTTGAGATGAAATGTGTTGTGAATTGGCGGTAAATAAATAAACTGAATTGAACTGAAACTTTGTTAAATCCCTTAAGAGTGATAGGTTTTTTTATTGCTCTGGCTTTATGTTTAGTGTTGTTGTTGTTCTACTGGGAGATAAATCTCCTCCTCAGTATCAAGTCTTTTACAACCTCTAAGCGGTTTTCTACCAGGATTGTATTTAGCTCAGACTAATATATCATGGACTCTGAACAGCTTAATTGTAATCTGGGAAATCAGCGTAGAGGGAACACAATACATATTTTAGAATTGTAGCAAACATTATTTTTTCATTAAGTAAAAAAATCTAAATAAGCTGTGTACATTCATGAGGCTGTAAAAAAAAATATTTAGGGAGTTTAGAATTTAGCGAAGCTCCGCAGATGGGACAGAAAATGTTTTAAGCTTCGTTGTTACTAATAAGAGCAAAGAATAATACAAAAAACAAAACATACTTGTAGTCTCCTGCATGTTGTGTCTCTGCATCATCTACCTCTCAGATTACTCAAACACACCTCATGACCTTTTTTCCTCGTCGACATCTTGTAATCATCTTAATGCTTCCTTGTGTAGCTTTGGTTCCCTTTTTCTATGGATATTATGAGAGTTACCCTGTCAAGAAGGATTTTTATGATTATTTAAAAGGTTTTTATGTGGTAATAAAATGTGATTTTTAGGAATTACATAAAGTATTATAAGAGCAAACCCATTCCATAATATTTCTGACCCTGCCCCATGTTGCAGAAAATGGAATCATCCTATTGGCTGTTCAGGATAGTAAAAGTGTAATGATTGATATTTGGTCCTAAGCTGTTGTTTTGTATCTAAGAGAGCAGAAAAATGTCTTTATTTCTTTTTGGTATTTTATTTATGCAACTCTGGAGTTTTTAAACTTATATTCTTAGCTTGTGCATACCATAAAACTGACTCTAAATGTTCTCCGACAGTAAAACTCTATGAAGCCCAACAAGTATGTAACATTAGAGATCCAAACCAAAATTAAGACTAGACCCAAATGTTGTATCCAAAATGCATCTACCGTACTTATTTTAGCTATGTGGATTTTTTCCATCAACTCTCTGAACTCTTTTTAATGACACCATATTAAAACCGTGATTATTTTACTGCAGTGTGGGAGTAGCTGAAACACGACCACAGCTTAATCATTTACTGATATTCAGAGCATTTATTCCAGATCTAAAGTGATATGTTATTACAGTCCTATCGCTGCTGTATCTCTCACTATGAACATAAAACAAGTTCAGGGGAGCTATAAACATGTTTGGGCGCACACACAGGCATGTGTGTGTGCATGAGGGAGAGACTGGCAGTGTGTCTATGGAGGTGCACATTCAGGCATGAAGACGGCACATGGATCTTCAACTTAACTTAGGTACTGATTGAAGATAAGCAGTTTAACACTGGGCTTCTCGCTGATAGAGGTCTGAATCAGTGTGCTAAAAAAAAGTATTCGCACCCAACAATATATTTTGATTTATCAGCATTTCTTTAGAGAAGGTAATAACTGGCAGAATAATCAAATTGTTTTGTTTATTTAGGGAATATGTGATACGCATGATATGTGATACGCATGACATTGAACCAGTGTATGAATGCGTTTGTGCTTCTGAGTATGACTGGATGAATGCTGTGCTGGTATAAGGGGCTATGTGTGGTCAGTGAATGTAGAGAGGCGCTATATAGATTTAGTCCATTTATGCTATTCAAAACAACCTGGCGCTGAAAAAGTAACTGTACTCTATATCTATTAGGTATATACTTTTTCCACCCTTGGCAGCAGCAAGTCACATCAAGTGTTTGTGATAACAGGTTATAAGTCACTTGCATGTCTGTGGTAAAATTTTTGCCCATTCTTCTTTTTAAAATTGTTCTAATTCCGCTACGGTAGGATTTTGGATTCTCAGTTTGAGGCTGCGCTCATAATTTTTATTAAATTTCAGATTTGATTTTGTTTTCTGGGTTGCGTAACTCCGTTTTTTAAAGGACTTTGCTGAATATTTACACTTAAAAAGGGAAATTTCTGCTATAGAATAGATAATAAATAAGATTGAGAATTACAGATTTTAAAACATAAAGCTTGTATAAGAAAACAATCACAGAAAAAAGAACAGAAACATACATAAACAATGTGCAATTTAACAGATAATTACAAAGCAGTGACAACACATTATGAACAGATTCCATTTTTAACTGTCTGCAGCGACTTACTTTTTGTAAATAAAGTCAATATTCCTGTGTTATCAACTTTGAAAAATCTACATTTGGGAATAAGAAAAATAAAATGAAAACAAAGTTATCTTAAATAGTTTCCTCCATTTAAGAGAAGTTATCCATGTCCTAAGGTCCAGACCAGACCAGTTCTATGCCAGATGCTGCACCTTTGCCTCGCTCCTCTGCAGAGGACGGAGATCTTGGAGAAACTCAAAAAGTGAAACAGCGTCTGTATTTTTTACTAGATGCCATTTCTACCCAGTCTCTGGATGATGTTGGAGTCATTTTTAATCCAGTCCCTTATTTCAAAGGTTCATCAAGGCTCAGTATTTACTATATTTTCTACACTATGGTTTAAGAAAGGGTTGTAGGGTTGATGAAGTACTCTTTAATAACAGATGATGATGGAGAGGTAATATTGGTTCTCAATATTTCTTGGAAAGAAAGGAGTTTTAGGAGGGCAGTAAGTACCTACAGGGGTTGAGGTTGGACTGTTATGCTTTGCAGAGCAAGTTTGTAATGATTCTTTTGTCCAAAGATAATGGTGAAGCGATGCAGGGTAGACATGCAGATGTTTTGTGATGTTGGAACTATAGACGGAGTCCAGACAGGAACACAGGAGGCAGGACTGAGGTCTCATTTGAGTCTATGAATGGTGATGCAAAGATGCAGCACTGAGATCTAGGAGGGAGCTGATGACTGAAAGTAATGGTTGCTGTAAGGAGGACAAAAATAATTTAACAAAGAAAAAGTAAGAATACAACAAGCAACAAATGAAAGGAGGCCTGATTTCCACACAGAGAGTAAGAACGATCTGGCGTATGCCTCAGGTAAGCAGCTCCTCTCGAAGCTCCTGTTGATCAAACTCAATAAGCAACAGTTGTAAGTAAGTAAATTTGATTTACACAGATATTAAATCAAAAAAAGAAAAGTTAAATAAAACACATCCTTGCATGCATTATAATATATAAATATAAAAAAGAAATATCCAAATAATCTAATGAAAAGCCTGCTTATTAAGAATAGTGCATTCTAAAGTTGAGGTCCGATTTACTTGGAATGAGAGATCCCTTCTGGGTTTAGAATTTGTGGGGGCACCGCCAGCATGATTTTACCGGGCGGTGAATGGAGATCGATCAGATGAAAAATGTAAGGTGGAGGTTCTCTTTGTAAATCTCGTAAAGGCATGAACTGAATTCTTAAGTGAAATCTGAAGTGAACCTCGAAGCCACCAGCACTTTTCAACCGTATTTGTTTGCTCTTTGGTTATCAAACAAAGCTAAAGACCAAGGAAGATAAATCCTTTCTAGCGTTGGCCCCATGATTGTGGAACATGTTACCTCCATCTTTAGGATGTCTTCATTCTATTCTTCTTTGGAAAAGCAACATAAAACAAGTTTATCCGAACTGGTATTTCAATAGATCTTATGCTTTATGATACATGCTGCCAGTTTCTTTCAAGTACTATCTTTATCCCATTGTTGGACAGTAATTAAGCCTCGATTTAGCATTCTGTACTTAACAGGCCTTTTGTAAAGCAATAATAAAAAGCAAAAGATAAAGATGATACAGTATCAACAGTAATAGTTTGACCAGAAATAGACACAGCAGGTAACGCAGCAAAAGAAAGCCTCAGTTATTGTACAAAAATAGTTCCTTTTCCAACAACCAGAGGGCAGGTTTTCTTATTAAACCGCCCGAGGAAAATCAGGGGCTGAAAAGTTACACAAAGCGTTTAATTCAATTCATTTTATTCACATGGCGCCATTTCACAACAAATGTTATCTCAAGGCACTTTACTTTTATCGTTTTCTACAGTGTTTTGGTTTTTGTTTTACTTGATACAAATGAAAAAAAAAGGATCTGTTCTAAATTACATTCTAACAGATATTAAAGAAGCACATTTCCTCCTTTCGTTTCAAACCTGTGATCATTGTGCGTTAAAGCGCAGTGAGTGACGCTCCAATTATTCATCACATCTCTGGGTTTGTTATCAGCCAGCATGCAGCACGCTGCTGCAGCCACAGTTACCCTCCTTGTACTCTGGCCAAAGCCAACCTTTGAACCGAGCGCGGCGGGTGCGCGCCCCGCAGCCTCACTATATAAGCAGAGTCGCGCCTGGAAGCGAGCGTCAGGTAACCAAGGTGAACAGAAGCGCTCCGGACTCACAGACGCCCAGCTGCAGGTGCGTAGCCCCACCGCTTCCTACACCTATAGGCAAGAAACAGGTTAAACCAGGATGAAGGAAAAAAATATGTACTAGGGTTTAAAATCAGTTGATATTGGTGTTTACAGATTTTTTGCTGTTTTTTTTTTATATGCTTTGCTTTTTATTAATCACATCTAAAGATGTGATTTTAAAAAATAGTAATTTTCTCGATCTCACTCCTAAAGTTGAGCAGGTTTTTGGTACCCTAGGATGTCTTGTCACACCTTTTTCATTTT